TAGGAATGAACAGAATGAAAGAAAAACTAAATAATCTTAAACTTACTTTTCAATGTCGGAAACATATTTCGTTATGAAGCAGTCCTTTTTTGAAATTGAAAGATAATCTCCTTTGAAGAGCACACCCTTCCTTGCCAGCGCCTCCAGGACAATACGTACAATTTCTCCCATATACATACCAGAGATCATCTTTTCGAAGCTGAGTGCAGCATAAGTTCAAAGAATATCTCTAGTAGCATAAAGTTAGTCAAATTAAATTGAGTGATACGTGGTAAAAAAAGAATGAGGGTTACATCTTCTCTTTTCAGAAAAAACCAGAGCTCTTACATGTGCACTTTTGGATTGATACTCTTCTCGTCAACTTCTCTATCATAATCTGTATATATAAATCCAAGACAGCCATCATCACCAAAAGCGCCCCATTCCATATTGATTATCATCTGAACGCGAAACTAATGATTTTTGTGGATTGCAATTCAATTATTGCAATATCACCTCATCGGGGAGCCCATCTGTTTCCCATTTACCCTTTAATTTTTCAATTTTTGTTAGCTTTTCCATATAACACGCATTCGTTCCTGTGCCGAAGATGACACCCATCTGGAAAAATTGCGTAGAACGGTTGCAGCTGAGAGCTAGTATAGCACGTGTACTTGACAAGTATTTTCTTTGAAAGCACATGCCATCAGAGTTCCAACTGTGTCATTCAATATTGCGGTTACATCTATGCTAACATCCTTAATCGCTCCTTTTTGTTCCGTGGGAAAATCTTTCTAACATAAGCAAGCTGTTTACCGATCGTTTTCTGCACGCTTTTTTGAGTAATTTAACAACATCTTTTCCTTCTACTCCGCTTGCCTTGAAGCCTTTTGACCAGTGTATCAATATACCTCTAAAAAAAGACCAATTTATTTGTTTAAAATTGAACTTTGAAACCATGTTGCAATCTAAATTGCATTTTAATCACGCACTTTGTTAGTTCTTCAATTTTACAAGGGAAAGAGAAGGTAAAGCCCAATGGTAATTTCTTCTTTTCTCCACGAAATTGCTCCTCTGTGAAAAGCGCAATGCATTGAGCGATGTGATCAAACAACTGCAAAGAAAAGTCTTTAAAAAATGTCTATATTAAGCACAAAACATTCTTCTCCTGGATTGAACTAAATTTTTTTTCACTTTCTAGTTTGTTGTCTTCTCTAAAAACAAAG